TTCGAGAGGATCGTCGACCGGTATCCTGACCTAATAGTACAGGAATGGCGAGTCTTTGAATAGGAGTTGGTTTAACGTCGACCATGCCTTTTAGCACGTCATTAGACATGGCTTCCTTAATCGAGGGCAATAAGTTGAATTGGTCAAATGAATCCAGCTCGGCTACACTCTCTTTCGTCCTCGATCTGTGGCCGTAAGGAATCGTCGCTAGGGCGCTTTGCATCTTCATGGCTTTCGTTCGTCGCACGTCGTTCCTATTGTCCCTCTTGTCTTTGCCGCCTCTGGATTCAACATATCGAGAAGTCTTTCCTGATGTACGTTCCGGTATACCAGCGTATGTTTGATTCATACCGCCAAACGGTCCGGCTGATCTGTTACGGGGCCGTCTACTTTCACGGCCTTCCGTATCTCTTCTTGCAGGGTCTGCGACACGGTCGGACAAGACCATTCTTGAAGGACTGCTCCTCGGAGGACCACCTCTCGAACCAGTTCTCCCTCGACCGGAGAAGAACCGTTGCGACGCCACCCATGGTCGATAGGCGCTTTGCAAAACTCTCGGGTTACTTGCTATGAATAAGCATGATGGACATATGGGCGCCGAGAGAAAGGAGCGCATCATGAAAACTCAGTTGTCTATCCGGTTTTCTATCGCGCCGAATTCGCGGAAACTTAATTGAACTTTTCTCTTTTGCTTTCCTTAAAATTAAATTATTATTATTATTTTTTTTTTCTTTTTTTTTTTTTTCGGCGGGGGACTTTTACTTATCGATTATCGATAACAAACGGCCACCCCTCCTTCTAGAAATAGAAATCTTTAAGGAAAAGTACGCGGATACTTGTAGACTTGGACCTGGCCTAACTTGATATGCACATGTTGTCCTACCTCAGATAATGCAATGCAGCCCGGCTTACGTTACATCAATGTACAGAACAACTATCACGATGAACCTGTCAATTCCAACGTTCGACAGGTTCTCAAATATTCTCAAATATGTTGAATTATATACCACATATAGGTACCGTTGCATTAATGATCTCCAATCCAAGAAACCGCCTACCATGTATCTTCATCTCCGGTGTAGGTCATAAACCGTCCTCCGTGGGTGGCTTTCGTAGCTGCATCAATTACCTTTACCATCCCTTTGCACGATTCCTCCACCGGTACGAGTTGGACAGGAATCTTGTCCTTCACCGACGAAAGGCCCTTGAGAGCCACCTGCGCCATGTCGGTGTCTGCTAAACCGGGACTAAGCACGAATGCTGTGAGCCAGTCTTCTTCTTTATCTATCCTCTTCGTTATCCAGTGGGCCGCAACTTTGGACGGCCCATATGCGGCGTGGGGGACATCGGGTTGATCCCTTGACTACAGTTAGTTTACAATGCTGTGGGAAGCGGGGAAAACATCTTAGAAGGTACTCACTGTAACACAAGTTAGTTAACATTCGCAAGTAGAACAGTAGGTATAATATAGATTATTCGGGGATACCATGAACTTACCACTATCTTTCCGCCGACAGAGCCCAAGGTTATCCACTTGGGGTTTGCAGACTTCTTTAGGAGCGGAATCGCAGCCTGGAATAACCATACCACGCCGAAGACATTGGGCGTAAGGTGTCCTTGTAATTCTTCCGTCTTCACCTCTGAGACCTTGGGGACGCAGTATAAGACACCGGCGTTGGCAATGACAATGTCTATATGATCAATGCCCTGTGCGGTTAATTGCTTGATACCCTCGGAAGCATCAGACTCAACTGAGGCGTCAACCTTGATGACGATGAGGCGACTACCTTCCCCTTTGGGTAGTTGGGCAAGAGCTTTCGATGTAGGGTGGTCTGGGTTGCGATTTGCGGCAATGACGATATGGTTTGGCTTAGCGAGGTAAAGCTCGAGGAGTCCTTTGCCTAAACCCCGGTTTGCGCCGCTAATTAACACTACAGTTGACGCCATTATGTTGGGTGATTTGATAGAAGTCGGTTGTTATTGATAGGTCTTGTTTGTAGTCTTGATTTGTTTTAATTCTTGCCATTAGTAAATCCGCCCGTCCCTCCGTTCGTCTCTCAGCTTCTTATAGTCGACATCACCCCCTGAGATCGGATCGACTTGGAACACAAAAACGTCAAGGGTTTACTAACTAATGCAGAATGTGCTGTACTTGTTACATGCTAACACTCAATAAGGACATATAGCTCTTCTGCCTGTTGAGACGGACCGTCGCCCACTTGCGAAATCTCTACCCGAGCGGCGGCTGGCTTACCCGATAGCCAATGGGGACTCAATGACGTTGGATATTTGCCGAAATCCGCAAGGTCAAGTTAATAACATACGCGCTATCAAGCCAAATCAAAACAACCGTGGGTCTTATGTACCTGGGACTAAGAGGAATGCCATTCTATTAATGTAGGATGTGACCATGTTGGGGTAATGGCGTAGTTCACCGCTTTGGAATTTTCATGGCTCCCACGAGGTGACCGGGGTAAATAATACCATGTCTGCAAGGTTAGCCTTAACGAGTGGAGTTTTCAGGGGTAACAGGGCTTCCTGGACGATAGCGTCGATCGACGGTGAGGACTTTAGCTGCCTGGGTAGAACTAAATAATCATATTGGTCGGGAATCAGTATGATTGGCACAATTGGATACTCGAGTGCTCGCGACAAGGGAATTCTGGGGGTGTTTTTGCGGCTCTCGGTTTATTACAGGTTTAAAGGATGCCGAAGGAGTCAATGCATGAGGAGGTCAAAGAGACACCATATCTCCCAGAGCCGAAGGAGCGGTATAAGCCACGTGGTTGGGCAGATCCAAACTAATCTATACTGTTCCTAAATTAACGACTATTCCAACATCAACTCTGCAACTCTGCAACTCTGCCTTTGCACATATCTAAAGAATTATTATTCATTAACTACATTACTTGGAGAAAGTACCAAAAAAGCAGCCAACTGAGCTATCCAAGTGTCTAACTAACCGAGTATGTTTGAAAAACAAAACAGCTGAAGAATGTAAATATTATCTTATTGTTAGCATTATTTACTTGAGCACGCGAGGTCCGTGTCTGCTACGATGTAACCTTACTCCATTAATTGTAGTTAATAGTATTCCGTAAGGTACTAAAAGTTGTTCTACCTACTCTCAGCTACGTATAGTCGTATTATGTTAGGCACCTAGGTAAGGTCAAGTATGTAAGGGTCTTATTAGGTACTGATTTCATGCATGCATGCTCCAAATGCTTAGCGTACCTAGGTACCTAATGTATATCCCCACACAATAACAGATGATAAAAGTACGAAGTATGCCTGTTAAGGAATTATGTAGTATATAAACATTTGGCTAATGCCCTGCAACTAGGTAGTTACTGTAATTACCTACTATATCAAGTATGAAATTACCACTTGGGGTATATTAGGTGTTGTTTCTTAAAGACCTCCTGGGTATGATATTCCGCGGAATATTAATATAAACCGTTTCAATAGCATTTAGTGTGTGGTTCGATAAGCGAATGGTCAACCACCTGGGTACAATACCTAGGTAATTAGACGTGAATAGCAAACATATGGAAGCGTGGATATGATCGTGCATGTCTAATTTCGCGGTGGTCTCCGGAAGCAGGCTGTCAAAACTTCCATAATCCCAACACGCAAGCGACATGACTAGAATTACCGTGTGGATAGTCTATCATCAATGGGGACTAACAAAAATAGATTCAGCGGCATATTCTCAAATGTGGGAGAGACACGGTCACATACTCCACTTACCGTATATCAACGAACCAAACCCTCCAACAAGGTCGAGACATACTGTTGTAGAGCCCACATATAAAAAGAGTACACTAAGACAACATTCGATTTAAAATACGACAGGGATGGTTACAGTGCTGGGGAGATGGAACCTGAGGTCCCAACACTAGATAACCCAACCAGGTTCTACGGAAATAACCCATGCAATCATCGCACTTACTATGTACAAGACGCCTACTTACTACCTAAGGCTTGCCTTCGTGATATTGTTTCCAACGGTAACCATATTAAGATGGGAGAGGGTTCGCTGGTTGCTAATTAAGGGCATATATAAGCTCGCGTATAAATTGTAACAGAAGAGCCGAAGATACCAAGGGAGGAAGTAAGGAAGGATAATATGAACAGAACCAGGATCAGAAAGGGTAGCAATTACTACCTTAGGTAGTTACTGCTGTCTCTAGGATTCCACAACTGTTCCTGGTACTCGGTAACTAATACAACTCTCCTTAAAAACAGTAATTGAAAGGAACGTAGCTTTCGGATGGATTTGGGATGGATGTTAGCGACAGCTTGGCACATCACAACTATAGTGTTCTCGGAAATGTCACGAGGTACCTAAAACAACCTCGTTGTTCTGCGAAGAGTTACATACCTTATAAATCCCCTTTATCTCCTATATCTTACATCCGACATATGAAGGTTAGCTTTAAAAGCCAGTAACTCGACGAGACGTAGAATCGTCTTAGATCTGATAGATGGTTAATAGATGGTTAATAGCTGTCTGTATAAAGTGCTGACATCCATTTTAGGCCAACAAATTAACATGGATTCAAGAGAAGTTTCAAGTCTACATCTACCACCCTAGAATACTTGGCATCACAGCCTTTTGTAGAATTTTTTATACCTAAGATAAAGCTTAAAAATTACGGCTCGCCTGATAAGGGACGTCGGAAGAGTATATGAGGCTAGGCGATTGAATCAATCTAATACCTAGAGACAACAAATATTTTATAGGGTTACCTAGGTAGCTACCCGTCTTAAGTACCTGGCATCAGTCTACAATAGTAGAAAAAAGTTGTGCGTTGAAGACTGAAAACCTCTTGTTATATCATGCCGGTAGCGAACCTACCGGCTAGGGTAGGGATACCGGACCATAAGGCTCTGTCTATCAGCAAGAAAACCAAAGATCAGAGAACTCGATGGATCAAGATAGAACATAAAGTGTTTTAGAAAAAAATAATCACTTGGAAGTCAAAAAATGTAATCAATGGTCCCAGGCGGGCTCGAACCGCCGGCCTTCGCATTGACTATATATAACCAATGATGAAGTTGGTGATATTAGTACGACGCTCTAACCAACTGAGCTATGGGACCGTTGAGGAAGTAGCTGCTTATGCCACGATATGTATGAATGTTGAGGAGAACGGAAGTATAGAAAATTTTTCATATGGATTTACCGAGCCCTTCGAATGTGAGCTACTACTATGTAAGTTAGGAGCAAAAAAGTGCTATGCGGGTTCTGAGATGGTGTGAGGATTGAGACCCACCTACTTAATATAGCTCTGTTAAGGTTCCGCGGACCGCAGGTACCCGACATAGGTAACCTTAGGTACCTTAGGTACCTAAGGTAGGTACCTGAGTACCTGGAATCGGGTTGCGGCCAAATTCAAGTTCCGACCATCGTAAAAGGTTACCTAGGTACCTAAGGTACCTACATAAGGTACCTAGGTAGGTTAGGTTAGGTACCTGTATCTCTAGTGCGGGTGCGACCAGAGTTACGTATCGTAGAAGCTCATTGCTCACATTCTCACATTCTCACATTCTTCTACCTCCCAAACACCTGTGACGGACAAAACATGTACGAAGACTCATGGTACAATTTTGTACCAGACCATACCCATAAAAGAAACCCTTCAATCCCACAAGCCTCGGGACATAGGAGAAGAGGATCCCTACTCCAGCAGCCCAATGTCAGTAGTCCTAGTCCCATCTTTCCGCCCTTAACAATTCCCCAATCGCCATCTTCCCGATGCGATGCTAACATCTCGTCAAGGGAAGCAAGCAGCCCGATGCTGTGCAGCCGCTGGAAGAATTATTCGAAGAAGTCGAGACGATAATTGAACCTCCCGAAGCAACATTAAGCCGAAGAGCAAAGTCCTATTCTGATTTCTACCATGTCGTTCGCGCGCAGCTTTCCAAGGATGCTGGAGCAAAGAAGAAGCGCAAGAAGGGCAAGGAGAGGGGCTTAGAGGCATTGATGGTTGAGAGGATTGACACGTTTGCTCGAGATCGACAACTACACCGGTTGAGCTCACTCGATGACGAATTGATCGAGGCTAGCCAGCAGGAATATTTGTACGGCGACCCGTGTTGAAGAAAGGTGACGATTTGGTCACTAACAGGAAGACAGACTTTATCAGGACCAATTAGAAATGACCGAGCGACACCTAGAGACACTTATTGGCAATACGAATAGCGCTCTGGATCTATTAACGTCTTTGGCCGACTCATTTCGCGCCGTGGAGTCGCAGACGTCCTCTTTCCAGGCCCAATGCGACGACCTTTTATCGGAGGAGAGGAGGCTACAGAAGCTTGCAGACGAAGTTGGAACCGACTTACATTATTACGCGTATCTAGATGGTGTAACAAGGAGGTTGAACGCTCCTGGTGCCAGCCGTCTGGTGAATCATGAAAGTTTTGGCGAAATCCTTACGAATCTGGATGCGTGCATAGAATTCATGATAGAGCACGTTAGTCGCTACATGATCTTCGTTATGATTCTTTTACTGACCTGTATTAGCCTGACTATCGGGATGCTGAGTCCTATCTGGCCAGATATCAGTCTCTACTCACGAAAGCTCTCCACTTACTCGAAGTCGGCTTCATGGGCCATCTTGATCGAATTTCATCGGAAATATCTAAGCAGATTTCTGCTACACAATCCGAGTCAGCTAGGCATGCGCTTGCGTATGGCCGATTCGAAGAGATGATGCTTGAAGTAGATGGTCTGATAACGAATGCTCAACGCGTTATTCGTAGTTGTTATGATCAACTGGGAAACCCAACTCCTGGGCAGAACTTCGACTATTACTCCAATACTGCTGTCAACATTTTTTCATCTTACGCCGATGTGAGAGACCGTGATCTCCGTCCCATGACTCAACATGACTTCGAGGTTTTTAAGAAAGAGGTCAAGGAAATTAATGCAGAAACCGCCTGCCGTAACTTTATTAAACAATGTTATGAGCGGTCATACGATGAAGCAACTCTCTTCGCTAAGATATTCTCTATAGAGCCGCAGTACAACGTGGACCCCCAGTCCGCCTACGTAGCCTTAAGGTCTCAACAAAAAGCTTTGGTCAACGCCGCAAATATTGCCCCGATCGCATCAACTTTGCAATCTGTTTTGCAAACAAGCGAGCTACAAACGGTTTGTAATCTCTTGAGTTGGATCACGAACGAGTACCTTTTACTGGAGTATGATGAAGAGGAAACTCGATATTCTATTCACTGCCATGACCTCACCGCCCGACTACTCATCGAACATCTCTGGCCCTTGACAGACACTGCATTCGATGCTGAGGTTACAAAATCTGTTTCAAAAGCCCCCATTTCCCAAGAATCTCTTAGGATCACGCCTGTGGTTAATGGTGTTGCATCGTCTAATGTGCATCCAATTACGAAAAGGGCCCTCGAGCTTCTAGCCATGTATGACCAAGCCATGCCAAAGGAGCGAAGTGTGAGTAGCATCATTGTCTAAGTTTCAACATATTTGAAAACTGATCTGTTTACTTTAGTCGAGCCCGGTTGTCTTTCGGATAATTCATGAGGCTATTCTAGCTATGCAGCGTGCCGAGTCCCGTTTGAAGTCTAACAGGGCGGCTAACCCAGAGCCTGATCCTGATTTATTTATGATCAAAAATCTGCTTGTTCTCAAGAATGGACTAGTGTCACTTGAGATCGGCGATGTTAGGTCTCATCCAGCAGCGATGCAGCATTTTAGCCAAATATGGGATGCCCTCAGTCCTCAAAACTGGCTGGGCCTGTTCAGAGGTATTCTCGGTGGTTCACTATCGCTCGGCTTATGGTCATCTGCGGCTAGTGCCTCCCCTGCTGGGAACGTCAAGGCCGCGCCGGTGAAAACTCAAGCCCAACCCGAACAAGATGCAAACGAGAAGTTGGACGAACTATTACGGCAGAGCATCTATGCGTTTACGCAGCGGTGGGGAACATTGATAAACGCGGCTAGGAGCGGTAAGCGCGGTACTTCAAATTTAGAAGCCACAGAGAAGGAACTTGATGAAAAGCTTTTGACCGCATTTGGTGGCCAGCCCGAAGTTATAGCCAAGTTGCAGGAAGCCATCCAAATAAATGCACAAGCCCAGAAAGAGCTCAAGGCAGAAAAGGGTGGACGGTAGGAAGAACGGCTATCCATTCCAATCTATTTAATGCAAAAAGACGAAAGAGCTTCACCGACGACAGCCTCTATCATTGGTTGTTGTCACTGAGTCCGCCCTGGGAGAGATATGAAATAAAATAACCGAGGTATAATACCAAGCTTCGGTCCAAGGTTTAAAGTGAGCGGTATACTAATGATTTAACCGCCGAGGCAGTATCCCTTGTTACTTATTCCGGACACTCATCACTCAAGAGGGTGCATGGGAACACTCATCAATAGTACACTCACAATACCTCTCTAAAGGGTGAATAGGTGGTACAAAGATTGAATTCTTCCCCATGACCCAACCTATTCGTACAAAGGGGTTAGGCAACTAAATCATAAAAGCAAAATCTCGCTACTAACTGTTTTTTGTTCAGATCTGATATTCGATACCTCCTTTTAATACGTTAAATTATTATCCTAGCAATTCGCCCGTATATAAACCATACTTTAAATTCCTACCTAGCCTAACCTAACATGATTCCATATAACATCCGCGCAGAAATAGCGACACGTAAAGAATATTTACCAATCTCTCGTATTACTGAAATCCCCCTTAACTAAGCTATGCAAGCTACCTGCAAAGGGGACAAGAATTAATTATTTTAGTACAATACGTTAGGTATCAGGTACGTAACGCATAGTGCTATACCTCAGCTAACAGCCTTAAAATGCTGATTGGGCAAAGATGAACAAAGCTTAACTTGTTAGTCTGTGAAGCGCTACTTGCTGATCCCTGTTTGGGCCCTCGAGAGGTAAGGGGTACCGCAGATGAAGGATACGTTTGCTCATAGTCATATCGTACTATAACCCCCTCTTGACGTAACGTAGGCGGAATCTGTAGTCAAAGAACGGGTAACCCGATCACCAACACTCTAAAACGCAATAGCTCCAACAACTAAGTAAGAGCTTCATCCGGGCTTTTGCCCTCATTAGTTTCGTAGCTATCCCGATGGGGTATAAGTAATGACCAAGTGTACCACACCATCGTGTGAACGATCAAAGGGATATCCTTACACTGCAGGGAGCCAAGGAACTAAGCAAACTGGTGTTCTTTGAACCGTAAGTCGTATTTAAGGTCAAAGGGAGCCGAATCCAAGCCTTCCCCAGCCCTACTTGCGGTTGCGCATACTGTACCTATTATATTATTTGGCCCAAAGGAAGACACACCATGGCCGCGAAACAGACCGTACAAGTTGCACATTTGGCAACCCAGGTTGGGTATGCCATTTCGAATGACAAGTTGGATCAGTCAAAGCCAACATGGGTACTTATCAACTCCCTGTGCACTTCGGTCGAGTTCTATCGGCCTTTGTTAGACAACAAGGCCTTGACAGATGTTGTGAACTTGGTGGCCATCGAGCCGCTTGGGCATGGCGCAACAACCTGCGCGACGGGACATTTTACTTACTGGGACACTGCACTCACCGCGTTGCAGGCTCTTGAAGCTCTGGGCGTAAAGAAGGCCTATGCCCTTGGAACCAGCCAAGGGGGTTGGATTATTGTGAGGATGGCATTACTGGCGCCGGAAAAGGTGATGTGCTCCAATGTGGATGTTGCTAAACGGTTGGATCGTCTTGGCTCACAAAAAAGTAGATACTGGGTCTCATTCCTCTTGGCACTTCGATGGATGCTGAAACTAGCGAGACCGTCGCCAAGGGCTGCTGGTAAGTCAGATGTTTATCTTCAACTCTCTTTTCCCTCTGTAATTCCAGGGTACACTCGCCCCTTTTTAATGAAAGCCGGTCAGACGTGGTGAACAAGGAGAGTCACTAATGAGTATTGCGCATTACCATAGGGATCCAGCCTCATTCCTAAAGCCAATCCTTGAGGCATGGAGTAGCCCTAACCCAGACTTCGTTGTCGATGATGACTGGATCCAATCTGTGATGGGGCTAGGCTTCGGATCTGCGGCCACTTCTGAAGTCCTCCA